GAATCTGAAAATGCTTTTGAGCTGAATAATAGCTGCCTCAGCGAGGAGCCTTGCAAACCCAGATATTCTTTAAAAAAAAAATAAAATTCCCTTTCTTCACATGTAACAATAACACATGCCTTTGCTTCACAGCTGTCTTGTTAAAAAGGGTATTGAATTCACTAATGAGGTTTATCTGGGGGTCCCAGTGGATGTTTCCTGAAAGGAATCTGTGTCGGGCTTGTAACATCGTGACCACAGCGCCAGTTGGTTATCATTATCTTCATCTAATTCTTTCCCATCCTGCAGCTTAGAGTTGTTTATTGGAAGTGTTGTTTTCCTTGCCTCTTACCATCAGCCCTCAGATGACTTGGCTTTATTTAAACACGGATGGAGACTCGCTGGAAGTTTGGTCAGCAGTTCTGTCCAGCACTCGGGAGGTGCTCAACGATCTTCCCTTAGAGGAATGGGGTTTTAAACCTCGCACGCAGCGCGAGCTGCCGAGCCCGTGGTATTTTGAAGGAGGAACGACAGACGCGAAGCTTCTCCAACTCCGCTGTGTGGGTGCGGATGTATGCTTTAAATGCCTTCGGGATGGAAGCCCGGTTTGAGAGGCAGAAATGAGGCATCGCAAGTAAAAGGGTGGTGACTTCATGAGCACCAGCTGCCTGGAGAAGCACCTCAACCCCCTGCAGCTTTGCTGCTACACGCTAGCAGCATGTTTAATGAAGCAGGACCGGGCTTCGCTGCAGATTAAACAGGTTTGACGAGTAAATATTTCAATGATCTTCAGAGACGCTTTGCATCAAGTAAGATGCCTCCAGGATCTTTTGGGAAGTGCAGTGCGCCAGGATCCGCCAATGCCCTGAAGTGCTGCAGCTTTCAGGCTTTGCGACAACGAGTGAAACAGTGTTTTTTTTTTCCCCCCTCTCTTAATGAGTGTCCGGTGCTGCTTCCCTAACATGTGACTCTCATCTGTTTTGCGTTGTCCCCCAGCCTGTCTGAGCCATTTGAACTGATCTTGTGCAGCCAGGATCTGTGCTGCATTAAAATGGCAAACATCTTTAATGACTTAAGGTTTTGGTGAGAAATGAGTAAGACCAAGGTGTAGGTCTACAGAACCTTTAATTTTTTAGCATGAAAACAAGGCATTCCAAAGGTTAACAAGATTAAGTGTTTTTTTTTTACTAGCTTATACATCTTATTTTAGTCTCTTCCTAATGCATTTGCACAAAAGTAATGATGTGTAGCTTAATGCACTCTGTTTAAAGGGTTATGCTCTGAGGGTTATGCCACCTGCTGGTTGTACAGAAAAACTGTTCCCCGGCACTGAGCAGTCTTGGAGCAACCCAGGGCATTTGGCATCTCTACAAACTGACACATCTGCCAGCTCTGTGCGATTGCTCAGCCTTGCCCACTAGGGGCGACACGCAGACCCCCGAGAATACCAGTTAATCGCAGAGAGTCAACAATCTGTCACCCTGAAAACCTTCCAAATCCTTTACTTCCTGAAGTTTTATTGTAGTTTAGCCCGCTTGCAGTCAGGCAGCATTGGCAGGGAGAGTTCCAGCTGTCGATCTGCTCGGCGCTTCCTAGACGGGACGCGAGGCTGTTGGTTAAGTTGCTGACTTGTGTGTTTAGCAAACTTAAGTGAAGTGAGCTTATAAAATGTGTATGTCTTTAATGGCCGTGTTCGCAGTCGCAGACTCCGCTGTGGCCAAGTAGAGCTGTGTGCTGATGCCTTGATGGCGCCTCGAAAACGAAGAGGGGCGCTCCGGTTCCGTTCTTCAGCGAGCGTCGCTTGAGCTCTTTAACAGATGACCGCCTCCGGCCCCTGCAGGGCCTGCGGTACAGCAGGACATGTTTTTCCCCCCAAGGCAGGGTCTCCGGCTAACGTTCTGGAAACCAGCCCAAAGTGCGACGTGCCCTGCCCGGGCTCCAGAATGCAGTGGGGGGCCGTTCCTGTTCGAGCAGATTGGCAACTGCCAGGCCAAAACCCGTGGCAGGAGTTTACGAGC